TAATTAATTAAAATCATGAAACTTAAACAATTTAACATCAATTTATTAAAAGTTTAACAAATATTACGTTTAGGGCCCTATGAAATGTTTTATTTGTCCAACCTTATGTGTTATTGTAACCAAATTCTGTTTTAGCATGTCTAATTTGAAAGCATAAAACAAGTTTCATTTATTCTTACAATAGCCGTATGACTTTTTTGCTCAGAAATTCTGTGTTGTATATTTACATTTTGTTTTAAGGCATAAAACATTCATTTAATCTATCTTTTAAGTAATGAAAATTAAACAAATAAATTTTTTTGGAAAATAAAGGTCATTTAATATTACAATTAAAACATTGAAGAAATATTGAATGCTTATTCCTTAAAAATAAAGTTTTAATAATTTTAGTAGTAGTAGCAGTCTGTTACTTACATTCTACTCAACAATAGTAATATATTTCTGCCAATGCCCTCAAGTTAAACCGAACTTTATTTTGACGGGTATTTTGCTTTTATATTACTACTGTGTGTGTATGACATGATGACAGTTTTACTGAAATGAAATGATCAAATGCTCATGAAGTGACTCTCAGAGCAGTTCTGGAGATGTTGTTCATGTGTTTATGTCCTCATTAGTGAGATGGCAGAGGTTAATATCACCGGAAGCGTCACGAGCGTTTCAGTACGAGTACTACACAAAACCGCGCGTCTGCGCCATTCATATCTAAATATGAATCGTTTTGCGGCTTATTATTTACAAATACTAGTGGGAGTGGGCTCACTTGTGTGTGCGTGAGCGCGCGCATCGGGCGGAACTCTGCTGTGCATGATACAGAGAGCGCGACCATAACGTAGAGACTGAAATGACATGCCGTCGTGTAAATAAGATAAACAACATAAGGCTATTTAGTTTGCTTAATGAAAGAACAAGGTATAGACATGTTCTATAAGAAAGGTAACTTTAAATTACTTCTGTTGTGATCTGGCGCTATAGAGAAAATATAATTAAATAAAATTGTGGGCCGCCCCCCTAAAATAATGGCAGGGTTAGTTGGTTAACTTCATTTATCAAATAGATACAGTCAAACCAAAATTTATTCAGACACTTTCAACATTTCTCACATTATCACAGTTTGTTCGCTATACTTTAGAAAATGGTATATGTGTAGATGACAAGAACTTAAACTGTCAGAACAAATTCAGCTAGATAATGTCAGATAACTTTGATAGAAAGATATGTAATGGATTACAATAAACCAAACATTATTCATACAGCTGTCAATATTTACACAACTATCAATACTTAGTCGGGCAGCCCTTAGCCTTAATGACAGCATATAGTCTCCTGGGCATGCTGTCATCCAGCTTCATGCAAACCTGAACTTCCAATTTTTCCCAGACTCGGTCTGAATAATTGTTGGTCCCAAATTTGTATACATTTTACTGGTAGCCCACTGTATGAAGAAATTTTGGGTATAATATATCACAGTTTATTTTATTTTGCTATCCTCACTTCACATAAATGAACTAGTGTCCTACACCTGGTCTGGTCTCTGAATAATTTTTGGTTTGACTGTATATCCTTTTGTTATTTTCACACTTAAATATGCTCATTAAAATGTATTTTACAAGTTTTTGTTACTTCCACTGTTTATTTTTTTCTCTATGGTAGCCTACATCCTCTTTAATTTAATAGCATTAGATCTGCTCCATTGCAGCGGCTTAGTACTGTAATCACGCGCTTTGCTGTAAAAATGCAGGGAACCACTCGCTATAAATATCCTAACTGATATTTCAATAAATAGAAGTCGCATTTTTTTCATCTGAAATGTGCAGCGATTTATTTTCCAAAGCTACTCATATAATGCAGAAACACTCATGAAGCAAGCAAAACAGGCGCAATGCATTCACGTATTTGTACTGGTGCAGAATGAGAGGGACAAGTACAGTACATCCTAGCACATTTCACTCAGGCTGCTAGTT